TTCACTGGTAATAATAAATAATTGAAATGGGTATATATTTGTTTTTTGTTAAGTTGCCTAATAATTATGCACAGTAATAGTCACCTGCACACACAGATATCCCCCTAACATAGCTAAAACTAAAAACAAACTAAAAACTACTTCCAAAAATATTCAGCTTTGATATTAATGAGTTTTTGGGTTCATTGAGAACATGGTTGTTGTTCAATAATAAAATTAATCCTCAAAAATACAACTTGCCTAATAATTCTGCACTCCCTGTATAGTTAATAACCATTGTCTTAGGTTTCAGTTATGTATTGGGTGTTTTAATAATCATTTATAGATTTATTAAAAAAGCAATTAATTTTGCTTTGTAAGTGCACATTTTGTGCCGCTTTCGCCCATACTGCAATAGCTCCACTTTTGCTAAATAAATACTTAGAACATGAATTTCTGTTAGGCCAGCTGTTTGCTACAGTAAAAAGCTGACAATTTAATTAAAACTCTTAGAGCTCTTTGATGTACCCCTAAAGCAGTACTTTTAGTATAAGTGCAGAAGGGTACAGAAAGTTGAACGTGAGGTACTAATGCATTGGTGAGCTCACTACAGAACATGCGCAGCATATGGATTTGCAGCAAACATAAGGATTTCAAATGTTTATGGTTTTTTTTTGTTTTACAAATATATGGATGCATTGTTTATATTGTATTGAAAAGGAACAGCTAACTCCAGTTAACATTAGATTTGTCAGTCTAAAGGGATTAAACAATAAATATTGAATGGTAATGAATTTCTAAACAGAATTGCCAATTTGTGGCAAAAAAGATGACCATAACAATTCTCCAAACTATCAATAGTAACAGCTTAACTATTAAGGTTAAACGTTGTAATCCGGTTTCCAGAGAACAACAGAAGTCTAACTAGCTAAATACAAAAAAAAAGCTGCAATGTTCTGGCCTGTACTATGAAATTCAGTTTTCAATTGACTACAATTTACTGTTTAGTAAAATTATACAAAATCCAGCCCCTATTCCGATATCCTACATGCTTTTGCCTTGTTAGGAATATTGGTTTTGTTTTGTTATTTTTTTTGTGTGTGTGTGTTATTGTATTCTTTGCCTAAGTGAGTCAGATTATTGCCTTGTAGCACTGAAACATAATTGTATTTTTTTCCCTATGATTATTTCATACAGGCTGTTGAGAAATATGGATCTGATACGCAATTAACTAATCTCCTCAACAACTTGGATTTCTATGTTGTTCCAGTTCTAAATGTTGATGGATATGCCTATACCTGGTCAACTGTAAGATATTAACACATCTTAGATAATAACATTAATTACTTTAATAATCTAAGTATTAATTACATAAACTCTCTAAAATCGTGTTGCAGAACCGTATGTGGAGGAAGACACGTTCAGTTAACAGTGGCACCACTTGTATTGGTACTGATCCAAACAGGAATTTCAACGCTGGATGGTGCAGTAAGTGATGTCTCCTTTTTTTGAAAACCATAAAGCATAATATATTATTGAAAACTGATTAAATACATGCTTGTTTTGAAAAAACTGAGAATGTATTTGTAGTACCATGCTAAACGCAACATATTTCCCTCCTAGGTCTCCCTCCAGTCCATTTGTATTTTCACTGTCGACTGTTAACGTTGACCTCTTACCTCTCACAATCATAAGCATTGTTTGCAGGTCAAACTTTATGGCTGCATTTTAGCATTAGAAGGTAGGATTTGGGGGAGATGTTTAGTGGAATTGGACTTACTCAGAGTTTTTTACTAGCATGTAAACATTAAATTCAAATAAGTAGCCAGACTGGAAGCATTGCTAAAGTGGATTTATTTTTATTTTTTCCGCTTCACTATATTTCACCTTAAATTTGAAACTAACTTTGAATTCTTGACAATTCTCCCATTGGTAAATAACCCTAACTGTATCTAAGCATCATAGATACAAAAAGACTTTTGCAATCTGTATTTAAGATACAATGGTATTTGGTAGATATTTAACCATTTCTGTTTATTATTTACTGTTTGGGATAAAAATTGTACTCATATTTCACACCCTATATGAAATTTTGTGGCTATCTTTTTGTTGTTGTTACTATTTTTTTTAATAATGTAAAATCTACAAAATATTATCTCTTAACATGCCTTTCTAGTTTTTCGTACTGAAGAGGTGAATACTTATCTGTCAATATTGCAATAAAAACTATTGTGTTTCATTCATTGTGTAATTTGTTTCATAGATTTTGTATTGATCAACAAAACTATGTGATAATGAATCGGAATTCAATGTAATAATTACTACCAAACATAAATCAACAACTTTTTTTTTTTTCAAGCTGTTGGAGCTTCTTCAAGAGCTTGCGATGATACATACTGTGGCAGTTCTCCTGAATCTGAAAGAGAAACCAAGGCTCTGGCTAACTTCATTCGCAATAATCTTTCTTCCATAAAGGGATACTTGACTATTCATTCCTATTCCCAGATGTTGCTGTTCCCCTACTCTTACTCTTATGCTGTAGCTAAGGACCACACTGAGTTGGTGAGTTTGCAATCACATAAGCAACAAACTTCATGTCTGCCATTGTAGAACGACAAACGTAATTTGTTATTGGTGAAACAATTGCCAAATGAAAGCAGCTATGTCCATTTATTGTGTTGATAAATAGGACATTAAAATTGTAAGATGGATAAACAATTGACTAAAAAAAAAAGTAACACAGATCTTTGGTGAATTTGAACTACTTGCGTTCTTCAAAAAAGATCAGATGTAGGACCATGCAAGCAAAAAATGAGGTCTTGCAGATACTTTGAAAGACAGAGTATAGATTTTGTGGAATGGACTCTCAACTAAAACCCTATAAGCAAGATATAGCTATCTTGAGAGACATATTTTAAGTAGCAAAAGGGAAAAAGTTAAAGGAAAAATATGTTGGCAGTTAAATTAACATAAACTACGGTAGAATAAAGAATAAGTTGACAAAGAGACAAAGTTCTTAATATTAAACAACCAGCAGAGACATTCCATTCATATCCATAGTAACTTCTCTATTCGTAGAACTTTGCACAGAGTAACTCTTTAATATATACATTTTGGTAGAACAAATGGCAATTCATTCATAAAATTTAAAAATACATTTAAAAGTAAAAAATACATTTATATGAGCACTGTCATGACAATACCAGTTCATAATGAAGCATGTTATTACAATGTAGGGTTCAACTTTGAGGGAGTGTATATCTCTATCTCACTTGACTGCTAATGATAATTGAACAAAATTGTGGTCCAGGTACTCAAGGGATTTATTGGAAAAAGTGCAACGTTTCGATCCTTCGATGTTAACTCTAATTCTAAACACACAACCCAATTCTAACGCTTCAGTTTAAGAAGTACCCCATTGTTCTATACTTCTGTCAGTAACACTAGCACAGACATTAGAAATAGAGTTATCATAAATGCATGTGCCATATTAACATGTTTTAACAAGATAAATATTTGTGCTTCTTTCAGAACACTGTAGCCAAGAATGCTGTGAGTCAGTTGACATCTTTGTACAACACCAAATACACATATGGAGCTGGAGGCACTACAATCTGTAAGTCATTTACAATAATATTTTGTAATTTAAAGTAAAATATGATTAAATATATACTTTTATATTTAGCTGACCAATTATACAGGTCTGCAGAATATGGTCTTTTTTACCTTTTAATTAACAATCAAATAATATTTTGATTACTTGTTTTAAAGGCTATGTTAGAACTTTGGTTATTTCTATAATTTAGTTTATTTTCACACATTGTTCGTTCCAAGATGGCACAAAGAAGTGGTTGTGAATGGCTGCAGATAAAAGCTGCCCTCCCTTAATTATGGCATCCCGCAATTCATGGCATGTCTCATTTGAAACTAGATGTGAACACTTATATTAATTGGCAGAGCAGGAGTTTTTTCTTTTTTCTATTTGCAATTTATGGTGACCAATAGACTCACTTTGTCATTTCTATAAATTTGAAAGCTGCTTGCTACTACAATATATAGGTAAGCTAACAGTACTAAAAATGGCACTCTGAAATGTTTTGGTGACATAGTCATAGCATAGTTTAAATAAATATGAAGAGTATATGAAGTTCCTGGAGCAAACTTCATTCAACAAAAATATCAAAGGCGACATGTCCACTTACAGTTCAAAATGATAATTTCCATCAAGCAAATACCTACAAAAAATATATTTTTTTTTAATGGAAACATTGTTTTATAATACCTGTATATGAAAAAGATTTTTAGAATGTTTGCTTTTGCTATTTATTTATACATTTCATTACTTGTGTCCAGCATTTAATACGCATTTCTTTCTCTATATAGACCTTGCAGCTGGAGGGTCAGATGACTGGGCTTATGATGCAGGCGTGAAATACTCATTCACATTTGAGCTCCGTGATACAGGAAGATATGGTTTCCTGTTGCCCGAATCTCAGATCCAGGCAACTAGTCAAGAAACCATTCTGGCTGTCAGGTCCATTGCCACCCACATCCTGAACAACGCATAAGAAATGGTTTTACAGAAGATGGCGATTGTACACTTCAATCTTGTAATACATTGTCTATTTCTACTATCATTTTCAGAATTTAATCATTCTGACTACCTTGGATTTCAGTAATTGTTCCAAGAAATACTATGTGAATGGAATAATTAATTTAAAAAAAGAAAAGAAAATTTCTGCTCAAATAAATTTTGAAAACAAAATGAGAAATTGAGAAAGACTGTTTAATTTTTTAAAGCATCACTTATTAAATTAATCTTCATGAAATAAAGTTTCATTTTAGTAAATCTTCACAACAAATAATTTTACAGACCTTCTGGCAATCGTTACAAAAGAATGCTCTCTATACAAACGTTTGGCACAATAAACCATCTCGGCTGCATTTCATTTAGAAACCAATGTTGTTGGTCCAGGGGTTTCTGTTTAAACTTCATGATTGATATTTTTCTATGTTATTCATTTTAATCAAATATAAAATGTTGATCCAACATGGTAGAGGCAGTCTAGAAAGTATGACATTCTGCCATGCACTGACAAAGCCAAGTTCATGTCTGTAAGTCAAAGAAAAAGGAAGCATCTAAGGAAGTGCTATTGTTTATACAAAACACAAGTGGGTGGGAAAAAGAAGTGCAAATAAAGTGCAGGCTGGCTACTGCCACTGGATCAGTCCCCAATCCAACCAAACCAAAAGAAAAAAAATAGTGTATAGAATAAAATATATGGTTACCGCTTTGGAAGAGGAATTCTCATATGAAAGAGAAAAATAGAGAACAAATCATGCAAAACTTTAATCAAAAATGAACAGTGATTTAAAAGCCAGTAACACACTCACATGATGGAATGGCACAGTTAAAATTAATTAAAATTAAGCAAGTCAGCCTCAATGGGTTGAATCCCACCAGGGTAATATTGGAAATAAACGTGATTCGGATGTCGAGTCATTGATGTGCCCAGCACAACACCATCCCATGTTTCAAGTCAGTTTATTCCATTTATAATGCTCCCAGGAATATGTAATAAAGATATTAAAATTATGTACATCCTATAATCTATTTTATAAAAAGGTTTATAAATATCCACCCTTGAGAATCATTCTATCTTTAACCATTGATGATGTCATTCTACCAGTGGGATTGGTAAAACATGTTGAGTGTTTAAGTGGAATTCACCGGTGTAAAAGGGACATTATAAGTGGCAAAACCTCTTTTTACTCAATTGAGTGGTTTTGGTGTATAGTCCGTGCAGTCTACATGCTCAAATCACTTTGTTTATGCATCCCTAGTCACACCTCCCTGCATGTGGCCTGCACAGTCTCCATTTACATTTGCTGTAAAGATAGATCTAATGTTTAAACATCCCTTTTTGCACAGTCTGTTTTATTTAGAATATATTATTATATTATCTCATGCTCTGTTAATAGCTTCTTGGGTGTGATTAAAGTTCAATTAACAGAGCAGGAGATAAAAACATCTAATGCTGTCACATCAGATTTAAAATCAAACCATTTTTTCATGTAGGCTGTGTGAGTCATAGCCGGGGGAGGTGTAGCTACATAAACAGGTGTGGCTCAAAAGTGTGGAGCCCCTCAAAAGTGATTTAACTGGAAGGATGAGCCCCTCACTTAGGGACTGAAAAAATAGCAGAATCCCTTAACTTTAGGGTAATGCCGCTTAAACACTTCCAATGCTATAAGTATTGGGAAAGTGGCATGTATACTAAATGTCTACCTTAACATTAGGAGTCTCAACATTAGTACTAGGAAGGTAAAGGGTATTTGAGAAGACTAAATCATATTTATAAATGGTATGCCTGGGCTTGAAGCAAATTCCCAAACATACTATAAACCAAATGAATCATATGACTCAGTAGAAATAAAGTATCCACTTAACAAACCCCACCTTAGTAACAATACCATATAAAATGTAACAAGTAGGTAAAGAAAAAAAGTACTAGAGTAATAAAGGAGAGAGGGGGCAATGAGGTCCTATACAGATATACCAATATAAAGATAGGGGAGAGAATAGTGTAAAATCTTGCATAGAGTGTCCCTACATAAAAGGGTACATCAAGTATGTCAGACAGAAATCTCTCACTTAATAGAGTTACAGGATCTTCTGAGGCCTCCTAAATGGCAGAAAATCTAGCAGTGAGGTGGTAGGAGCATGATTTATACACCAGAACTGCTTCATTAAGCTGAAGTTTTTTTGCTGCATTGAGTATTCTTTAATTTTAATAGTTGGATGGCATTAAAAAAAATCTAATCCAATGTACTTTCTCTCCTTGACTACTGTAATCCGCTTCCCAGTGGTCTTACGTGTTCCCAACTTTCGCCGTTACAGTCCATAATGAATGCGGCTGCAAGGCTCATCTTCCTGTCCGCCCGCACCTCCCATGCCTCACCCTTCTGTCAGTCCCTACACTGGCTTACTGTAAGATATAGGGCTCAATTTAAAATTCTGGTTCTTTCTTTCAAATCTCTACATAATGCTGCTCCCACCTATCTATCCTCTATACTCTATCCTCACTGATACACAGTATGTCCCATCTAGGCCGTTTCATTGTGCAGAAGACTTACGTCTATCTTCTGTCCCTACTCCCACCTCTGATGCTCGCCTTCAAGACTTCTCGAGGGCTGCACTGTTCCTCTGGAACTCTCTTCCCGCCTCCTTTAGATGCTCACCCAGTCTCCACTCCTTCAAAAAATCATTAAAAACCCACTTCTTCAATTAAACTGTTAATAGCTCATGACTGATTCCTCTCTTGCAACTATCATTAGTCTAATACTATTCTTACCTTTTTGTGTCACTTTACCCCACTCCCTCTAACATGTAAGCTCACTGAGCAGGACCCTCAACCCCTCTGTTCCTGTGTGTCCAACTTGTCTGATTACAGCTACATGTTTGTTCATCCACCCACTGTAAAGCGCTGCGGAATTTGTTGGTGCTATGTAAATAACATAATAATAATAATAATAATAATAACAATAAAAACATTTTCACAATTAGTTTTAAAATCCAGTGTTTCATGAATTACCTAAACCAAGAGGACAGCATTCTACAGCATTGTTTAACATACCACACTATTGCATATAATTTTAGCCTGCAAATGAGAATATGAATGCAAGTAAACATACTTCCAATTTGAAGACAGAGTCTCATAATCTGTTTTGATTATTTTGATTTATTGAGCTCTGTTAAAAACTAAACTGGGATTTGTTGATCGCCACAGTGATTATAATAAATTAAACACCAAACAAAATTCAAGTGATGTTTTCTTTCCCATGGAATCTTGATCAAAATGATAATATATTACTTTACCATATCGCCAGGAGGTTTTTGTATATATACATTGAAAATAAATTGGGTTGCATTTTTAAAAAAAGATGTAAGTAAATAAGTAATTTAAGAAAATATAAGAAAATGCTTTTTTTATAGTTGCCATTACAATATTATTGTTGATACTGGATGAGCTTTTAAAAAAGGGAAAGGCTATTCCCTAAAAGTTAATATGCAAGTCTTGTCTTGTGAAAATATACCATAAGGAGGTCCACTAACTTGTTGAAATTATAATGGCTGGATGGGATTGGGTGGTCAGAGGGGGCACGTGTCTTGCATTCCCATTGCTGCTATGTAAAATCTGTATGTCTTCCCTACCAGAGCTTTATTCTCCCTTCCCCACTATCCTTTCTCTGTCCTCCACCTTTTTTTCTCCTCGTCTCTCTCTCTCCCCCTCATCCTCTCTATCTGTCTAATATTTAAAGTCTTTTCTCCCTTTCTCTACTGCTACCTCTTCTCCTACATGTCCAACTAACTTTGCTAATACAGGGCTAATAACATAGGGCACCCTCGTATTTCTATTGGTTCCCACTGTTTATGAGCAAACAATCAGACCCTTTAGTGTACCTTACGCATATAGTTATGATATTAAATGCCCCAAACATGGTTTGTGGCTGTTCTCTCTTATGCTGTGCCTTGATTGCATTCTGATGGCCCAACAGTCTTATAGATTACTAATAGAGATCAGTGTTACAGAATGGTAGTGTTACGGTACCTTCAGCATGAAATGTACAAACCGCCGTTTAGTGAATGCTCCCCGTTCGCAATAATGTTGTCTGTAAGAGTATGCAATACAACCATGCGAACCGCCAGTCAGGGAACTCTCCAAACTCCCGAACGGTATCCGTACGGCTCCTTCCCTTCACGAGCCACAAGTTCACGAACTGCCAATATCAGCCGAACGCCAATATCTTCCAAGCGGCAAATAATTCCAAAGAGCAGTCTCTAGTCGCCGGTAATAAACTCCCCCCAATAACGAGACCAAGCTCCGCATTGAGGTTAAAACACGAACTGAGTTTACTGTGGGCTAACTGCCCGTATTTATACAGGACACTCCCCTAGGGGACCAAATGGGAGACTGGAATATCAGATGGACATGGGGACATTTCAGACATACAATCACACAATATTCCCAGCATGCATCACAGTTTCCTCCCCTCTGCTCGGGAGATAATTGAGAAGTAATTCAATTATCTCCCAGAGCAGATGCAAATCGCCATTTTAATTACAAGTCACAAAACACATAAAAATATATAACTTTATAACTGCCAAACATATTACATTCGTGTAACACATCCCCAGATAGCCTGGATCTGAGGGCATATTATTGGCGAATAGCGCTCAGGTCCCATACGCACAGTTCAATCGCCATGGAGTCAAAGTCTATTACAGTTCTTCGGTATGCGATTGACTCCATGGGAAGGCTATCTAGGGTAAGTCCATTCGTGCCTTTACATCTCCCAAACGGCCGGTGTTCGCACACTTCTGTCGATTGAGAAGGGAGGTCGACAGCTTCAGCGGTGTTCGGTTGAAAAAGTGTCAATTTTCAGTTCCATGAAATAACCGTCGAACACCGCTGGTCTTTCGCATGGTTAAAATGGCCGCCACCTCATGGTCGACATATGAACGACGACCACCCTGTATTCGGTTTTAATTGAGAAGTGTCTGTGGTTAACCGCAATGTTCTAATTGGGATCAATAGGTTAACCAGCAGCACACTTCTCTTCTGGGTGGCCGTCCGTTCGGCAGTTCCGTTCGACAGAAAAGTACATTCACTTAAACAAGGCATACGAACAGGTAAATTCATGCAAACGGCAAAACAGACGAACACAGCAATCTTAGTTCATACGGATGGGTCTGTCACAGGTAGGAACATAGCAAGGAAAGATCTAAATTTCTATCTTTCTATGCACAAAGAGTACTTTGCTCGTTGATTATCATATTATACACTCATCTTAATCATCACAGATTGTTTACTGACTGTATTGCACTCTTGTGAATTATGTTTTCTCGCAACTGAATAGGTAACTTCGATGTACTTTTTAATACTGTACTTTTTCTTTGATATAAGAATAAAATCTGACATAACAAAAAAATTTAAAAAACTAAAAATTAAAATAGCAGTAAGGCAGCCATTCCGAAGATTTAATGTATGGTCTTGTATTAAGAAATGCAACATGGTTGTTTATTACACATAAAATTAAATAAATTCACTCGGGGGTTTTAACATTTGAAAATGCTATTAAAGTATTGGGTTATTTTGAAATTTATTTTTTTATAAAACAAGGTAAAATACACTATTTTTTATTTTATACAGCTGCATCTCTATGTCACAAAACTGCTATTCATACAAATCAGTTTACGACAAAATTCCCAATATATTAATATGCATATGCACCTAATCAAGCTGTAGTAATTTTTGTTTATAATAGTTTTTGAGTTTTCAAGTAAAAAAATAAAATGACAATAATGAAGTACAGTACAAGAGTAGCGAGTAAACACAACATTTTTGTATTGTTCATATTGTTACAATGTAACAGCTAAAAGGAATGGTAAATAAGAACTAAGGATAATAAAAGCACATTGTGGATTCACAATTGTTATGTTGGTATTTCTAAAATGCAAGGAAAACTTAAATAAACATTAGGGAATAAAAGGGGATATGACAATATAAAAGAGGAATTAGTTATATATATCGTAATAGAGTTCTTATAATACTTATATCTACAATAATCTATTTGATTAGTATCCATGTTAAAGTTATTATTGACCCATAATGATAAGCTTTAATAGGAAATAAAAAACCTTTAATATATTTCTTTCCCGTGATGGTGATTCTTTTCCTTTAAACATAAATTGTGTAAAACTTATATAGTTAAAATAATTTAATATTTAAAGGGACAGGATCCTCATAACCTGTTGGAGATACAGGGTGTTTTCAAACTTGTTTTTATAATTCTTTATCTCTTAGTTTTTCAATATATACTTCTTTAAATAGTTAAAAATATAAAATATATATAAAAAATGTATAAGGGATATCTAAAACGAAAAAAGGGAAAGGAAATAAATAAAAAAGGGAACAATGTAAAAAACAGGGAGGGAGGGGTTCTCAATAGAAAATGGCATAGTTCGAAGTCCGAGTTTAATCCATATGGAATGAGAGTATTCATTTTAAAAATCCATTCCATTTCCACTTGGCATAATTTCTTTATTAAATCTCCTCCTCTCCAATTTCTTTCCACCCTTTTCACTCCTAAGAATATAAGGCCTTTTGCCTCTTGGTGGTGGTACTGTTTAAAATGGTAGGAGAGGCGGTGTTTCTCAAATCCTAAATTGATGTTACGTAGATGTTCTCCTATTCTTACGTCGTAAGATCTAGTTGTGCTGCCTATATATTCCAAACCGCAAGGACATCTTAGTAAGTAGATTATATTCTTAGAATAGCATGTTATAAATTATTTTATAGATATAATTATATATTAGTTCTTTCCCTGGTTTTTATTTCTATTCTGGAGGATTCTAACTGGGGTTCTTCATAACCTTTATCTAAAAAATCTTTTTTAATTCTCAGTGATTGATCTTCATAAATTTCTATGTCCGTGCAGTTACGCCGAATCCTTATGAATTGGCTTTTCGGTGCGTTTTCCAACCAAGGGGCATAATAGCCACTTGTGCGTTCAATAAAACTATTGCAATCCGCTGCCTTAAAATGTTTTTTTGTTTTTAAAATCCCATCTTTAATATAAACATTAAGATCTAAAAAGATTATTTCCTCTTGGCTCCATGTGCTTGTAAGTTTAATACCCCATGTATTATCATTTAAAAAAGATAAAAATTCTTCAAAAAAAGCTAATCCCTCCCTTCCAAATAAAAAAACATGTCGTCAATGTAACACCCATAATGGACCAAGTTATCCCCCCAGCCATGGTCACCATATACAAAAATACTCCTCCAATAAGACATGAAGAGGTTGGCGTGGCTGTGGGCGAACTTGGTCACCATGGGCATTCCATTTATCTGTAGGAAAACCTCTTCCTGCTGTCACATCGCACGTCACTAAAGTGAAACCACTTTCCCATTTGTGTCCTTCCAAAAATTTTGAAAGTGACATAGAGTCTTTAATATGTGATCTTGTTTTTAGTACTAATGGTTGTAATAGTACGTTGATGTATTGCGATAATCTGCTTGGGATAGCGTCTATTCCTGCTATAATAG